ACAACTTCATTTTTGAAAAAGTATAAGAATCACTTGCTGGATGTGAAAACAGTTCTGTTTCAAATAAGAAGAATTCTTGTATTATTCTCATAATTCGCGTGACGTATGTTTTACGCAGGTCAACACGTGTTTATCTTAGAATGCTGTATTTTTTAGTCTTTATTTTGTTGCTACAAAAATATTACCGATATTTGATTACGCTACAATAATAGGTCGGAATAGCTTGGTTAGTAGGACGTTGGACTCGTGTTCGTGAGAACGTGAGTTCGAATACCTCCGACCGAAGAATCCCCATGCATTAAATGGTAGCTGGTGCACGTTAAATCTGTTTGGCTCACAAAGTCCTCCAAGTTCCCATAATAGGAATAACATCTGTGGATGACTGAATGAAATATGATTAAATCCTTCTTGTAAAACTGGCTGTGACGTCTGTGTGGGTGAAATCGTATTCTTGGCCATTGATGGCACCACTGAAAAAATAAGAAACTAAACCTTTAGCTTAAAAACTCGCTTGATTTCAGGTATTCTTGCTGGTGTTGGCAAGTGGCATCATTACCAACAACAACATCGCTCTTCATTAGCTATTCAAGTTTTTTTTTTAAATTTAAAACCGTAAAGTAATAGAGCTGAATTTTATTCGAATAATTATTAATTATTGCATAAGGAATTATGGTCGGAAAACTCTTTTATTTAATTTATTTTTTTCTGCGTTTAGTTTTTAAATGAAATGTAGTGTCAGGTAAACAAAGCGCAAAAACCTACATTATCTATATATATCTTATTATAACATCTATATCATAGGTTGTCAAAATCTCATGGTTTAGTCATCGTCCATTTTACAAGGCTTCAGATATGCTTCAGATATTGATAAAATTGGCTTCAGATATGCTATAGCAATTGAAAATGCCTACTGACGTATTCATTATATTTTATTTTTTGTAAAATGTTGGATATTTTTAATAGTGATTACTACATTTTTTTTAATAGAGTTGCTTGTAAAATGTTCAGAAGTATTAAGTAACTGATACGAAATTTTCAGACATCAAAAAAATCGTATAAATCATAGCTTTGGTAGATAAATTAATTTCGTCTACTAAAATATGAACTCCCTTTTAAAACTGATTTAATATTAATATTATCTATAAATTACTTTTAATTTATCTTGATCGTGCGATTACTCATTAAGCGTCAATATTTTGCACGAATTTCAAAAAGATAAAGTGAAGAATTACATAAAATTAAGCGTTAAATTAGGAGTTTATTTATTATTTTTTTAAATTGGGCATAATTTGACATTATTTTATGACACAGTGTCAAATTTGTTATGAAAATATCGTTCTTCAGTTTGTTTTCTCAACCAGTTACTTGTTGAAAAAGTATAATTGCCTTATTGGCAAGCTTAATTTTTTAAAACTACTTTTCGTTTTATTTAAAATATGTTCTGACTAAAAATAATGCGATTAATAAATATTTATTAATTATAAATGTTGTTTTAACTTTCATATCGAAAGCATAGACCTCCTAACGTTCCATAAATAAACCTTAATTTTAAAATCGCTCTTACTTTCAAAAAATAATTAGAAGAATTGGAACCAAATGGTGTGTGGTAAAGAATTTGGTGATAATAAAGTAAAATTCGTTAAATATTTTTAACTATTCATTTCAAATAATATTATGTTTTTATTATTATATAAGCACTACCAATTTTCAGTGTTGAATCACAAAACAAAATTACTTTAACTTCAATCTAGTTCAAGGTAAGTACTTTACTAACCTCGCGCTAGTGCTGCACAATGGTCTATTGGCTACCGCCTGGGAAACATTCCTGAGGATGGTCCGAAGACATGCCATCGCAATTTTGATCCTCTGCAGAGCTGATGGCTCCCCTACTTTAGTAGCCCGACGACCTGCGCGTGTAGTCGAGCACTTTACAGTAGAACAGATTAACGAGGACCGATACAGCATACTCTCGGTTCCTAAGCAAGCTGATCAAATTGGTCACCCACCCGCCCACTGACCGCAGTCAGTGATGATTGACTTCCGTGTACCATGTCTTTAAGATCAGTCCACTGCGGGATTCAATGCAGTTCAGAGTCATGGTGTTTATTATTCCATATGAGTCAAATACCTGGAATTTTGGGAAACATTCATAAACAATAATTTACGAGAAATAAAGAAAACTTGTTTATCATCAATAGTATATATGCAAAAGTTTTGTAAAGAGAACATTTTATTTTTAAACCAATAGGAACCTTGAAATATTATAACCTCCTGCTTGCTGTAGATATCGACGTCAATGTCAGAAACTACAATAAATATCGCCAAGTGAAAGCAGAAGTTCAATACAAATAGCTTAATGACAGTAATTTTGACTCTTAGTATTTCCTTCTTTGCAATTTTCTAAAAAAGGGAAAAGTTAAAAACGCTGTTGGCGCCAAAAGGCTGGCGCTGGCAAAACAAAAAGACATGGCGAGCTATTACTAATTTGGGTCAGCTTGTCTGGCGAGTGAGCCATAAAATGGATAACTTGGTACCTGTCCATCATCGCTGGTGATTTACCGTATCAACAAGGAATGCTTTTACGGTTGGTTGCGCTTTATTCTTGGAAAGCGAGAGAGAGTGTTTTGTTACTACTTTTGGCGATAAGAGATAAGATATTGATGCAATTTTAAATAAAATTGGAATAAACCGCCAATTGTCACTTAATGGTGTACTATTTATAGAAGCAGGTAAAGGAATGACAATGTGTTTTTGTAAATATCAACATCTTTGTTTTTGTAAATAATTTGAGCAAAATCTTCCTGCTTAACCATGACTGAGGAATGACACTTTGTTGTTGATTTTAATCTCGCTTCTAATCCGTAAATGAGATTATTGAAGGAACTCTAAGGAAAAGTTGAAAAACTTTCATGAATATTATCCTTACTGTTAATATTTATAGTGATATTTACCCATAAGCAAAACATGGCCTTCTTTTTAATTAAAGTACGTAGATTTTTTTGCCATTAATTTAATTTACGTGTGACCCAAAACATATGGAATAATTTTTCTGAATAAACAATGTTCGTAGTTTCATACTTATATGCTATATAATCTACTTAGATCTGGATGAAATAAAAGAGATAAAACTTATTAGGAAAAAAAGATAAAAATGTCTAATAAGGACAAACAGGCTTGTTTTATTTCTTGATATTACAAAAACTCCATTTGCTTCATAAGTTATAATGGGGGGGGGGAAGTAGACGTGTATCAAGCGCTCAAAAATAGGCACCCATTCTCAAGACTTACCAAACGTGAAGCTTTTAACATCTTTATAATTAATGAAGTAAATGGAATTTTCATCAGTTTCTAGGGATTATTCATGTATTATTTGTTTTTACAAGAAGTTGCGAAACCTGAATCACAGAAAGATGATTAGGTTGCAGCTAATTTTAATTTTTCTTCTAATTCTTTAAGGGGATGACATGAAAGTAGGAGAAGTTGGGAAATATAGCTAGTTTTTATTAACATTGTTACGTCTATTTTTTATATTTGTCATGATATTTATTGAGGAAAAACATTTCTTAAACTTTGATTAGAGTGTGAAAAGTGTTATCACATTTTTTGTATAATGACTAAAAATTCATTTTAACTGCTCATTGCCATAAGAACTTAGAATCCTTAATATTACCCAATAAAAAACCTCGAATGCATTACTAGTATTTCTTTTATCACTGAAGGCTATTAACTAATTTTAAAATTGAGCGATGACACTAGGAAATATTTTTTTTTCTTCTGTTGCATACGTTTTGTGAACGAATCTCAGATATTTCTTCGTCGCTGATTTCAAATCTGCAAAAACTTATCCCTACACGCTACAGTTTTTATGCAATTTAATAATAAATTCCTAACCAGAATTTTTTTAAATTCACTGGAGTGAACAATATGTGTCCCACCTCTCTTCACCGTAGGGAGTAGTAGGAAGAAGGTGATAAGGCATTTCAGTTTATGATGCAATATCTTAAAATAACAGGTTTTTTTTGTCTTAAGTGTTGTTTTCAAAGGATCAAATAAATGTATATGCATACATATAAACGCATACATTATTTATAAACTTGTATATCCAGATAAAAAATAAACAAAGCTAAATTCATAAATAATTTATTTTGGGAACAAAGTTGTAACTTTCCGAACGAAACTAATTTCTGATCTGAAATCCCCGCATCCGAATTACTTAAGATTAAGCACTTGTATAGTTAAAAAAATTTACAGGAAACAAAACCATGTTAACACCGTGAAAAACACCAGGGAACAACCTGGTATAGTGTATCTACCTATAAGTCATGTTAACTCTATTCTAAGGTGAGGTACCTTTTCATAGATGAAGGTTGACATTGACTATAACATTGGTGACCAATGTCAACCTTCATCTATGAAAAGGTACCTATGTAAAGGTTCATCTATGAAAATACCTTTTCATAGATGAAGGTTGACATTGACTATAACATTGGTGACCAACGTCAACCTTCATCTATGGAAAGGTACCTACCTATGTAAAGGTTCATCTATGGGGTACCTTTTCATAGATGAAGGTTGACATTGACTATAACATTGGTGACCAATGTCAACCTTCATCTATGAAAAGGTACCCCACCATAGAATAGGGTTAACATGTTTTATTTACTAGTGAATTTGAATTATATTTTTGTAGTGGTAGATACACTGCAGTGTAAATAGTTCGTAGAGTAATAAAATTATTTCATTTCATATCTTACTACTTATGTTGTTCTGTTACAATAATTAAATAATTTCTTTTCTTCTATTTCAGATCATATAATAAATTATGCGGCCTCTAATANTTAACATGTCTTATATACTAGTGAATTGGAATTATATTTTTGTAGTGGTAGATACATTGCGGTGTAAATAGTTCGTAGAGCAATAAAATTATTTCATTTCATATCTTACTACTTATGTTGTTCTGTTACAATAATTAAATAATTTCTTTTCTTCTATTTCAGATCATATAATAAATTATGCGGCCTCTAATACTGTGCACGGTACTTTTCCTTGGTTCGCTACTGGCAGTTGTCTCTGGAGATGGCGATGGCTGGGACTACAGACCCATCAAAGTTATCATAAAAGAACATCCAAAACTAATCACAGTTCCCTATCACGTGCCATGGCCAAAGCACGTTCCCGTACCTAAACACGTACCTGTTCTGAAACCTCTTCCCATAGCTAAACCAGTTCCCGTGCCTAAAATCATTCCAGTGGTCAAACACATACACAAAGTGGTTCACGTACCTAAAGTGATTCACATTCACAAATCAGTGCCAGTACCCAAACCTTACCCGATTCCCAAAGTGGTGAAGGTGCCCAAGCCATACGTGGTCCATGTTCCAAAGCACTACCCCGTACCGAAACCATACCACGTCCCAATTTACGTGAAGATTCCCAAGCCTTACATTGTGCCAGTTCACAAGTCGGTGCCAATTCCAGTACCCAAGCATGTGCCAGTGAAGGTTGAAGTAATCAGGGTGAAACCTTTAGTCATCAAAAAACCCGTGCCTATTCTGTGAGTATATTTTAACAGACTTTTCAATTGTTTTTAAAATTTAATTTTTAGTTCCATTGTTTACAAATATATTTGGATGAATAAATAAATTGTTACTTAAAATTCTAATATCTATTCGATTTTTCTTTATTTTGCCTTTATTTTTATCGATTGAAAAGTTTTAAAGATGGATCATATCATTCAGTGATATTGCTGTAAATTTTATAGTAATATACTATAGCAATATTGCTTTAAAGTTTTTGATGTTATATAAGAAAATTGTGAAATTTTCATGAAAGAATTCAATAAGAGTGCTAATTTTATATATTATTATAGTTTTGTAAAGTGTGCTGAATATTGAATTTATGAATGAATATAATAATCATTTATTTTATTTTCAGGTACAAAATATCAGGTAGTTTTGTTTTATAGTTTAAATTTTAAAAAATGGATTTAAACTTTTAAGAATTTCAGCAATATTTACACTGTCACGAACATTTTGGCCATGGATGAAATGTTAAAAAAAATCATTAAATTATCATTAATAAAATTGTTGCAATGGTTTCTATTTTCTGAATCCTTTATAAGATGATCTTTTTATTTAAATGTGATAGACAAATATACCTTAATTCGACTTTGATGCGTTTTAAGAAGTTAGAGGTTGTTCTAAATTCAATTCGCCAATGAATTCGAAACTAAGCAAAAACTTTGTGCTTAAAGAAATAGTCTCTAAACTATAACAATTACTCTTATGTTATTATGTCGCAATTTATGAACAGACTTGCTATAAATTTTGTCACAATTTTGTGAAAATGAAAAGCATTTGTGTTCTACTTCTTTAATATTTAAAACGTATAACAATGCTGTATTTCAGGGCTCATAAAAATTTGGGAAAAAAACTGAATAGGGCGGTGATTTTGAGAATTTTAATCTAAGTGGGAAAATGTGCCAAATTAAAATTTTTTAAAAATGTTCAACTTTTAAAATATCTAAATTATTTGTCTCTTCTAAAGTCCAGGTAATTCATTGCAGTAAGATGATATATATATAGTTTAAAATCATCGCTTTGCTTCAAATGTAAGGCACTTAAATTGTATTTTCCTTGGNTGTTAAGAGAATTTTGCATGAAAAATGTAGGTATAATATAAAATTTGTATAGCTTAAATTGTAAACTTTCTAAAACATTTTTAATTAAAATATACTTTAAAATTTGGTACATCATATTTAGTGCAAAATCTAATTTTCTTACAATACTGTGTAATTTTAGCTAAGAGTTTGAAAATTAATTGATGAATTATTTTTAAGCAAAGCTATAAACACGATTTTAAACTACACATTAATAGCATGACCAGATGTTAAGATAGGGGGTATTTAATTTAAACCGCTGATTTGATATTTATCATACCAACAAGTTTGATAATCGTGCTTTTAAGGATATTTTTCAAAGTCTCCGTCGTCTTATGAAATTATGCTTTTTTCCGAATAATATTGTTTAAGTTTAGCATATCTAAAGACAGCGAGATCTATCCGAATTTAGAAAATGGCGCAAAGCGTCAATATGGAGAAAAGCCACAATTTTGTGAAAATGAAAAGTATTTGTGTTCTACTTTTTTAATATTTAAAACGTATAACAATGCTGTATTTCTGGGCTCATAAAAATTTGGAAAAAAACTGAATAAAGCAGTGATTTTGAGAATTTTAATCTAAGTGGAAAAATGTGCCAAATTAAAATTTTTAAAAAAAGTTCAACTTTTAAAATATTTAAATTATTTGTCCCTTCTAAAGTCCAGGTAATTCATTGCAGTAAAATGATATATATATAGTTTAAAATCATCGCTTTGCTTCAAATGTAAGGCACTTAAATTGTATTTTCCTTGGCGGCTGATCTTCGAAAACCATGTTAAATCTTAACAACTCGTGCTATTTCCAACATCTTGTTCGATTACTTGAACAGAATCACCATTACCGGTGATAATAATGATCTTATTGGTTCAAAATTGAAATCTCACATTTTTGAATAGATATTTTCGTTTAAAGTATTCAAATTTTTTTGAGCATGTTACTTAAGAAAAATATCTTACGCGGTAAAAAAGAATTCTGGTAAAATTACCGTACTGCATGGTAATGACATTTCTGGTAAAAAAAAACGCAATTCTGGTAAGAAAAAGTAAAATATACGGTATTTAAACCATTTTTTAGTGATTTTTCCGTTTATACATTAATGGTTTACGGGAAAATCTGATTTTCAAAATTATAGTTCTTATTGTCACACATTTAGTAAAAATATATGCAAAACTGAAATGTAAACTTAGCCGAATAAATCGGTTTTATACCATGCTCTTATGTATCATGCTAAAATTACTAAATTTTAAATTATTTATCAAATGTTATCACATATTATAAAACCATATTTTATTGTTAGTTTTCTTTAAATCAATACCTTTAGTAAAAATTACGAGCTATAAAATAAATTAAACGGTTATAACACATAAATCAGTTGAGAGGAAAATAAATATTAACTCTTGGTTTAGGTCAAAAATAATCAAAATTTAAAAAAAAAATTTTTTTGGTTTCCTATTCTATTGTTAAACTTAATCAGAATTGTTTATTATAAATTTCGGAAATGCATAGGTATTATATTTTTGTCCTACTGCTTTTACGAGGCCCTTACAAACCAAACCATTGTACTCAAGTCTTAAAGCGTAGAAAAAAACGGGATGTTTATTATCTTAAAGTTTAAATCCATATTTATGAATGAATAAATGAAATAACTTAAATTTTTTTATTTTAACTGACGTATAGAAATGGAAAATAAAAAATCTTGCAATAAAGCTTTACGTTGGTATTTCGCGTATGTTGTTGATTTTATTGTTAAAACCGCGCCTTTATTATATTCTTTTAAGTGAAATAATTTCAGAAATTTTTTCTTTCTTTTCCTGGGAATTACTTCTTGCGTGGGGAATGTTGCGATAACAATGAGCAAGATAGTGAATTTGATATTTAGCCACGTGTGTTTACAAACCGTTGAATGAACTATTGACGAGTATACTATGTTGTGCTCCTATGACTTGGCAACTTTCACTACATTCTTTAAAATTCAAAGCGGGTATTGATAATGAGATTTTACAATGCTTGGCGAGGTTGATGAACTTAAAAGTGCTTCTAGTTTTTTGAAATATGAATGGGCCAAAAATTTATTCAAAAGAAAAAATTTATTTTTTAAATCAGAATTTTATTTTTTTTACTACAGAAAGGATTGTTTTAAACGATGTCAAAAAAATCTAACCGAATTGCTTATAATTGAAATATCTTTTAACAATCTTGACATTTGTAATTTATTCTAAAATATGCGTCTTTTTGTATGCATAAAGTTTTATATTTGAAAATTTGGATTGTATCCACAAAGTTTCATATTGAAAATTGGAAACTACTTTTATCACCCAGTAAATGTGCGTTTTTGGTAATTTTTTAATGCGGTTTGAAAGCATTTAGAAACATTTATTACTTAAAAACATTTAATAACAGAAAACAACGTATAGTGTTTTTTTTTTAGATTTAGTATTTATTGTAGCAATGTATTTTTAAATAATTTGTTTTGTCCTAGCATACATATTTCATATTCATTTACTGAAATATTCCTGGATTAAACCTTTGTATTTAAATACTAGTTTTGAATATTGTTTTTTAATTATTTTATTTATTATCTACATATCATTGTAGAAATACTTTTTTAGATAAGTTTTACAACCAGTAATGATCTTTCCTAAGAAACTTGAAAGAAATAATAACTGATAAAAATCTTGCTTATAATAAATATTTGTTAGAAGTTTGATTCTATTTGTCAAATGCAAATGTTAAATGGGCGTGAAAAAAATATGGTATCACCATGTTTAATGATGAGGGATTATTATTTAATCAGCTTTTTAGAAGGGAACTTATTTATATAATGAAGACGGCATCTTTAACTATCTATAACTTTTTTGTTAGATAGGTTTATTCAGTTAAAGCAGTTTTTTCCCCTTAGAGTTAAGAACGCTAACATTCCAACGTCTAACCAATAAGAACAAATTGGTCACACAACAAGTACTTTTCTACTTTGCAATCTTTGATTTTTTCCACATTATTTATCTTCGGTAGATTTTTTGTACGTGAGTTTTCATGCTAATGGAAAGGATGTTTAAAAAGAACATAAATATCGAACCTACTTTTGAAAATTAACTCTAGGAGAATTGTGAAAATTATCTAGTTTTGCTATGTCTACAAACTGTGATCAACAATCCAAAAGAACTCCCTCACAGCAATCCAATGGACATGCCAAGAGTCTTATTTCTGCTGAGTGAAAAAGAAATTATCTGTTTCATTTCAGATGTTACTGTTAAAAATATTTCTCCAAAACACAGATTTCGGCTATAACTAGATATTTCAAGATCCTAATATTTATTGAATGAAAAAGAAATCTGAATGAAAAGGATATTCCGCATAAAAAGTAATTATTAAGATATTTCCCTATAGCACAGATTTCAGTCCCTAGGCCAAGATACCATAATTCACATTTTAGTGCCTTCACTGCCATGAAAAATGGTTTAATTTGTTTTTGGTATTGTAAAAATTCCAGGCGCCAAATTTTTATTGAAAGAAAGGAAGTATACTGTCTGCATCAACATGTAACCTACAATATAGCTTTCCATAACACAGATTCCAATATTTGTGTCAAAGCTCTGAATAACATGCGTTTTAGTGCTATTAGAGCCAAGAAAGTTGGTCTATATCCTTTTGGTTATGCGGACTTTTCAGGAACCTTATTTTAAATGAATGAAAAAGCAGTTATATGTTCTGTATGAGATGAAGAGACAAAATTTCTCGTTAGTGCATATTTTAGCGCAATGGCAAAGCTCCATTGCATGAGTTTGACTGCTTTGGCAAGGACTCCCTATTCCAGATTATAATGTCAAGAAAAATGGTTAAAACCTCTTATTGTTATGGTTAAAACCTAACAAAAGAGGTTAGAACCTCTTTTTGTT